AAAAAAAAACGGCTACATTATAAAGTGATGTAAAATACTAAAAACAGAAACATGTCTGTTGGTTTATGCCATGAACTTAGCAGGTATTTGAAGCCATTTAACATTTTATTTTATTTTAATTCATTTATTCATTCATTTAAAGAAACAAAATAAAAAAAAAATCATCAAAAAGAAAACATTGAATGAAAAGAGTGCAGAAAGAAGAAAAAAAAAACTTATATCTGCCCCTTATTTTAAAAAATATAGAATAACTTTAAACAATCACTTAAATAAATCACTTTAATATCCACTTTAAAGCTAGGAATAAAAACTGCAGATAGGGTGGCAGAAACGAACCGAGTTGAACAGAACAAGAGCCGCTGCTGTTCTGCAGAGCTAGTGAGTAAAATTTAGTAGCTAGCTACATATACAGTACTGTACATATGTTAAAATTAGTAGGTTTAAGAGTTTAGAACATTGCATGAGTATGGGAAGGGTTTCTAAAGTCTTAAAATATATATAAATACTAAAATAAATATAACGGTGCTACTTCATGGATTTTCCCTTATTGCGGGGAGGTTTGGAACCTAACACCAGCAACAAACAAGGGACTACTGTACAGTATTTATGCATCTTACTCTGTGTTTATAGCATTATTCTAGTTTCTTCTATTTCAAGTTTTTTAAATAAACTATTCAGATATTATGCGTGTATCTGTGATGGTACATGGCAGTCTAAATTATATGTCACAGTGGAGCGCGTCTGCCTCCCTGAGGGTGGTGTGGGGGGAGTTGGGTGATGCGGGCTGTCAGTGACAGACTAGTAGTCCATCCATAATTAGTCAGAGCCAGTGCTTAATTTGAGCTTGATTCTGCCGGAACAGGATCCGGGAAATCTCTTATTTTCATAGGGTGCTTCCGGTAACTGTTTACTTGGATCTGGGAACTCTGAGGCTTACTAATAATAAAGTTATGAACAAATAAAACTTTTATTGGATATGTAAACTTAAAATAATTACGAGCACTAATTTTAAACAACAGCATATGATCTGCCTCTTCAAGTGAAGCATTTCCGCATCTACACTTTAAAACATTTCCACCCCTAAAAGAGTGGTGGGAGTGAGAGCCGAGCTGGCGGTTGTTTTGTACACGGGCAGGAGCTCAGAGCTGCAGGCAGGCGCCTGGAGGTTTCACATGTGGAGTCGGACAACAACTAGAAGGGACAGAGTTGTGCTCGGTTCAGAGATCATGATGGTTCGGTCAAGTAAGGTGGGTGTGTATGTGTGTGCAGTGTTTCCCCTAGTTAACTTGCCACGGCGGGGTGCTCATCTCATCCATGATGACGGGGGAGGGACGGACAAATGTCTGAGCGCAGATTGTGCTAACAGTTTTTGAGTGGTGGCGGGGGCGTTCAGCATGAGGAAAAAGGTACCGTGAGTGCTGCCTTTAGCTTTTTAGCTAGAGAGCCTGTATTTCGTGCCGCTAGCTTAGTGCTATGTCAGTGCTGGGTGGGTGGGTGGGTGGGTGTGCAATTTGGTTTGATAGGCGGGGTGCTCAGTTCTGTTGACGGGGTGGAGCACCCCGCTTGTATAATGGTAGGGGAAACACTGGTGTGTGTTCGTTTGGGGGGGTGGCGCTTGACAGAAGAGTGTTTACAAGTGACAAATGTACAAACCGAATTCCAAAAAAGTTGGGACACTAAACAAATTGTGAATAAAAACCGAATGCAATGATGTGGAGATGGCAAATGTCAATATTTTATTCGTAATATAACATAGGTGACAGATCAAAAGTTTAATCTGAGTAAATGTAACATTTTAAAGGAAAAATATGTTGATTCAAAATTTCAGTGTCAACAAATCCCAAAAAAGTTGGGACAAGTAGCAATAAGTGGCTGGAAAAAGGAAATTGAGCATATAACTAACAGCTGGAAGTCCAATTAACAATAATTAGGTCAATTGACAACATGATTGGGTATAAAAAGAGCTTCTCAGAGTGTCAGTGTCTCTCAGAAGCCAAGATGGTAAGAGGATCACCAATTCTACCTTTGTTGCGCAGAAAGATAGTTCAGCAATACCAGAATGGTGTTACCCAGCATAAAATAGCAAAGACTTTTAAGCTATCATCATCAACCGTGCATAACAGCATCAAAAGATTCAGAGAATCTGGAACAATCGCTGTGCGTAAAGGTCAAGGCCGTAAAACTCTAGTGGATGCTCGTGATCTCCGGGCCCTTAAACGTCACTGCACCTCAAACAGGAATGCAACTGTCAAGGAAATAACAGAATGGGCTCAGGAATACTTCCAGAAAGCATTGTCAGTGAACACAATCTGCTGTGCCATCTGCCGTTGCCAGCTGAAACTCTACAGTGCAAAGAGGAAGCCATTTCTAAGCAAGCTCCACAAGCTCAGATGTTTGCACTGGGCCAGGGGTCATTTAAAATAGAGTGTGGTAAAATGGAAGACTGTTCAGTGGTCAGATGAGTCACGATTTGAAGTTCTTTATGGAACACTGGGACGCCATGTCATCCTGACCAGAGAGGACAAGGATAGCCCAAGTTGTTATCAACGCTCCGTTCATAAGCCTGCATCACTGATGGTATGGGGTTGCATGAGCGCTTGTGGCATGGGCAGCTTGCATGTCTGGAAAGGCACCATTAATGCAGAGAACTATGTTCAGGTTCTAGAACAACATATGCTCCCATCTAGACGTCATCTCTTTCAGGGAAGACCCTGCATTTTTCAACACAATAATGCCAGACCACATTCTGCAGCAATCACAACATCATGGCTACATAGGAGAAGGATCCGGGTACTGAAATGGCCAGCCTGCAGTCCAGATCTTTCACCTATAGAGAACATTTGGCGCATCATAAAGAGGAAGGTGCGACAAAGAAGGCCCAAGACGATTGAACAGTTAGAGGCCTGTATTAGACATGAATGGGAGAGCATACCTATTTCTAAACTTGAGAAACTGATCTCCTCAATCCCCAGACGTCTGTTGAGTGTTGTAAGAAGAAGGGGGGATGCCACACAGTGGTAAAAATGGACTTGTCCCAACTTTTTTGGGATTTGTTGATGCCATGAAATTTGGAAACAACAGATTTTTCCCTTAAAATGATACATTCTCTCAGTTTAAACTTTTGATATGTGATTTGTGTTCTATTCTGAATAAAATATTAGATGTTGGCACCTCCACATCATTGCATTCAGTTTTTATTCACAATTTGTTTAGTGTCCCAACTTTTTTGGAATCTGGTTTGTAGATAAACGTAGATGTTTAACAATCTGTTAAAATACATCAAATTGCAGGAAATAGCATCTGCTTTCTGGCATTGATCAGTTTACAAATTAAGCCCTGGTCATACCTGAAAGGAACTTTCAAATACCAATACCGAGCAAGGTTTGGAAGATATAAAAAAAGTTGATTGTCATCTTTGAAAAGTTTAGTTTCTGGTTACCTCTTTGTCTGTGTCGCAGTACTCTTTTACTTTTTCCACGGCCACAATGTTAGTCTCCACATCAGAAGACATTCTCACCAGCCAGGTCAGTGAGGCAGTGAGCTGGACACAGAGGATGAAGGGAAGCAGCGTCAGATTAGGTCAACATTTAGGTCATTTACAAAAAGCAAATACATGCAGTTTCCCTGACAAAAGCCCAATCAAAATAAGGTTGAACTTTCAGATCACTGAGCTGCAACCGTTGGTGACTCATTACAAACAGCTTTTGAGACAGAGTTTACAAGTTTTCTCTAAATTTTTAAGAAAGTACTCAATTTCCTTGCATGAGTTGCAGAGCTTTGGTTTTGTGTCGCTGGAATTTTGAACATAATCGAAAAATTTGTGCAACAAACTTTCTTTCAAAATACCCAGGGTCGGTGTGGCCATCTAAACCCAATGTCATGAGGGGATGGCAACCTAAGAAACCAACTTGTAACAGACGTGAGACAACAATGAGAACCAGACTCATAGCTGTTGTTGACCACAACATCAAGAAGAACCTGCTGCAGTCTTCAGCAGGTCAGCCTGGTCCTCATCCAACAGTTCTTTCTCTGAGCTCCAGAACACTTAACATCTGGAAACAAGGGCCATAATTTATATCGTCTAGACCCTCCACTTTTGTGACGTGTTCCATTGATCCATCCATCATCTTTCGCTTGTTCCAAAGTCGGGTTGTAGGGGCAGCAGCTAGAGCAAGGAGGCCCAGACATCTCGTTTCCCTGTGTCATTTTGTGTGAATGAGTGCCTAATTGATTCATTTGCCCTCTCTAGACCACTCTAGTACATCTCTCGGCTGGCCTGGGAATGCTTTGGCGTCCTCCCAGAAGAGCTGGAAGAGGTGGCTGTGGAAAGAGATGTCTGGGCCTCCCTGCTCAAGCTGCTGACCCCGAGACCCGACTTCGGAACAAGCGGAAGATAATGGATGGATGGATGTCGCATAAATGTTGAAAATTTGTCATTTTGTTACAAGAATGTTGTGGTAATAGTTATTTGTACTCCCAGTGAAATGCAGCCTGGGTTTTGTGCAACAGTTGTGTGAATATGCAAACTGGTCAAGTCAATGTGATTCCAAGTGAAAATGTACTCTAACTAGTCACCAACTGTGGCAGCCCAGTGAGGTACGGGCTTTACCTGCAAGGCGTAGGAGATAGATAGTCCCATAATGCCTGGACTCAGACTTTCTCTGGCTATAACAGCGAACAACGCAGCAAATGACACAATGCAGTTTCCTACAAACTCCAGGCGGATGGCCAGCCACCTACACAGACAGATTCATCAACATATGAAGAACAAATCAGTTGAGAAAGCTGTTCAGTGAGTTAAGTCCAACTATAAAATGAAAACAGAGATGAGGAGAAATGTAAAAAAATGAGTGCCTTAAAAAAAGTAGAAGTAGGTTTCAGTTAACACCTGGAAGTCCTTTCAACTTCACAACTATTTGTGCTTCTTTGAGGAAAAACCAACCATTTTTTAACTGCTTAAAATGACAACTTAAAAAAACAGTTCACAATAAACTAGTCTTTCTTTTAGTTATCTTAGCCTGAAATAAATGTAATAAATTTAAGTGACTTTTTAAAGACTTTAACTCTCTAAGGTCCTTGTTAAAAAAAAAAAAAACACATTTCAGTAAAAAAAAAAAAAAAATATATATATATATATATATATATATACTTTTTTTATGACAGCATTGAAATAAATAAATATATAAATAAATAAGTATCGACATATCGTTTTGAAAGTACAATATTTTGAATGATTTGTTGTGATCCTAATTTATTTATTTTATTCTACAAAAACTGAGTATTGTGGGCCGATGTCTTCATAGTATTCTAATTTTTTTGAAATCCTGTTTTCATGGGTTTCATGAGCAGGAAGCCCAAATTATGTAAAAATAAACAACTAAATACTTGAAATCGTTTAAATTGTGGGCCCTGAATCTATCATCTATTAAAGATTATCTTTTTGAATGGAATTATGGAAGTTAAATAACTTTTCCATGATATTCAAATTTTTTGGAA